TTTTCTTTCTATTATCCCTTTCAAGATCCTTGATCGATTGCACTACCCCCACCCTGACAATATTTACTATTACCCCCGCCCTGACAATATTTACTATTACCCCCGCCCTGACAATATTTACTATTATCCCCGCCCTGACAATATTTACTATTACCCCCGCCCTGACAATATTTACTATTATCCCCACCCTGACAATATTTACTATTACCCCCTTCACTTATCAATCCTTACTTTTTCGCGAATCTCTTAGTTTCTCCTTGCAATCTTTCTTATGCCTAGCCTGACTAACTAAAGCCGCATCATTGCCCCCCAAAAACTTCAAAATTACACCATCGCGTTTTTATCCCTAGGTAAAAAACACCTGATTTAAAGGGATATTATTGTCTAAATATTTGCTTTATCGTTTTAAAGAGCTAGATTTTAGATTTATGAAAAACAATCAGCTATCTGCATAGTAAGTCCGTGATACAAGAAAGGTGACTATTGCAGTCAAGGTATAACACGAAGTTCGTAATAGCCCGACATTGTGAAGATACATAAGATATATAAGATGTATCACGGAATGCAGCGATTTAATTGGATTGTACGCCAGCGAATACAGCCAATCATAGACGTCGACTGTAAACATTATTGCTTATTGTATACAGACTTCCTGCGGACGAAGTTAGTAATAGCTTGACATTGTGAAGATGTATAAGACGAAGTTTGTTATAGCTTGACATTATGAAGATGTATAAGTTGAAGTTCGTAATAGCTTGACACTGTGAAGATGTATAAGATGAAGTTAGTAATAGCTTGACATTGTGAAGATGTATAAGATGAAGTTAGTAATAGCTTGACATTGTGAAGATGTATAAGATGAAGTTAGTAATAGCTAGACACTGTGAAGATGTATAAGATGAAGTTAGTAATAGCTTGACACTGTGAAGATGTATAAGATGAAGTTAGTAATAGCTTGACATTGTGAAGATGTATAAGATGAAGTTAGTAATAGCTAGACACTGTGAAGATGTATAAGATGAAGTTAGTAATAGCTTGACATTATGAAGATGTATAAGATGAAGTTAGTAATAGCTTGACATTGTGAAGATGTATAAGATGAAGTTAGTAATAGCTTGACACTGTGAAGATGTATAAGATGAAGTTAGTAATAGCTTGACATTATGAAGATGTATAAGATGAAGTTAGTAATAGCTTGACACTGTGAAGATGTATAAGATGAAGTTAGTAATAGCTTGACATTATGAAGATGTATAAGATGAAGTTCGTAATAGCTTGACACTGTGAAGATGTATAAGATGAAGTTAGTAATAGCTTGACATTGTGAAGATGTATAAGATGAAGTTAGTAATAGCTTGACATTGTGAAGATGTATAAGATGAAGTTTGTAATAGCTTGACATTATGAAGATGTATAAGATGAAGTTAGTAATAGCTTGACATTGTGAAGATGTATAAGATGAAGTTAGTAATAGCTTGACACTGTGAAGATGTATACAGGAAGAATCTAACTTTAACTGTCTAGGCGTTGGAAGATGATCGATGGCTGTTAAAAATGGCTAATCAACTTAGATTCACATGAAATCAAAATATTTACACAATTTCAATAAATTCAATCAGAACCTCAGACTGGTTGTTGATTTTAGTCGACATGAAGATTTGATGGCGATATTTAATGAAATAACTATTGATTGGAAATCAGATACAGGCTGCTGGTGGTCGTAGCTCTGTTCAGATGTATCTCTACATTATACAACGTCTCTTGAACACTTCCAACTATTACATCTGAATGAATGAATGATTTTATTGAATACGCAAATACGTTTTCAACCGCGAGGACATGTCTCCACCTTTGCGTTTTACTTTGGAGACATTAATTTTGATGTGTCACAGGCTATAAAAGCTACCTGATGACTTTTACCTTTATCTTCATTCTGATATGATTTGGAGACTCGTACAGAAATCCTTTAGCAGAGTATATCACCACGAATACACATGATATACATAATTTGTAAGATAAAATATATGGATCTAGTTTTAGATGTAATTAGTTAATACATACATAACTTAACATATAATTGCAGTAAGTACTGTTTCATCCTGCTGGACCTCATCAGTGCAGTGCTGATACTAGAGTTGAGGTTTGGATATATAGCCACCTCAGATGAACCCACATGAATTATGTGGTATCATCGTACAATGCCAGAGTGCTCAAACTAGCCTAGCAAGCTAGTGAGCTACACATACATGCTAATGACAATGGTACACTACAGATAGAGTGCTCAACAAGACATGAACCAAAGAGCATATCTAACTGCAGACAGGACTGTTTCGGCCTTAACTTAACTTCTCTAATATGAAAAGTATTGCATGGAAAACCGAAGAGGAAATCATGGAATAATTAGGATATATCGGGTAAAGGGAAGGGGCGGGGGAGTATTATGCAATAAGGGGTAAGGGGTAATAGAATATAAAGGGTTGAAAATATGATGGAAAAAAGAATCCTTTATACTTTTAATGTAAATATTATGTCGTATATTGTTATATATAATTAAAATATACATATCGTCTATTACAATCTGTTCTTTGATAAATAGAAATTTTACGTAATTATAGGGCGTTTATATCGTTTGTTGTCTCTACCGCTATTACTCTGTTGGTTCGTTCAATTCGGACACAAGCCGATCACTATTGTTAACACTTAACGAAATTGGCCTGCACTTTCATTATGCGCTACAAGAATAATCTGAATTTGATGCAACACAACATTATGTGTGTATGGTTCTAAGGTTTCCACCAAGGCGCGTTTAAAATAATTGGATTGATAAAAAAGGCCTGCAATCGATCCGTGTTATCACTGGAGAGTATAGACGTGTATCATTCAAAGGGAAGAAACTACTGATATATCAGACAACTACAATGTTAGTTTAAAAAAAGGGGTAAAGCTCTGTAATGTTCAGATCACATCAGACTCATCAGTTTCACCATGATTCAAGGGGAATAACCAGATTTTACGTATTATATGGACTCACTCCACTAAAACATTTTATGCAAATGATTGTATAGGAATGTAGTCCAGGCTATTTTTAGAAATCTTCTTTCTCTCTCCCTTTTGGGGTTTTTGCCTGCCTATTTTTGGGTAAAATTTGGTCTAGATTTGGAATTTGATGTCTGAAATTGCATTATCTTTCAGATTTGGTGAGATGATGAGAGACTTAAAGGCGGAAGGCTAATTCTAAAAATAGTCGTTTTGTGAAGTGCCAAACTCTAGCGGATGAGTATAACCGGTAGTAGTCTACTTTCAATTTTAGTAGCTCAAAATTTTCATGGTCATCATATAATGAATTTTTTAGGAGACATTGAGAATTGGTCAGGCTTTCATTCGACATATTGGAAAGCTTTCAACGAGATTTCTGGAAAAAGTTATAGAAGGTTGAATTTCGTGTTTTAACATGGGAAGAGATGGCAAATGAATTAGTGGAGTGAGTCCATATTCCATTTTGATATCTGTTTATACCACAGTAATAATATTTCCGCCATTTCAACAGACAAAGAAGGGATAGAAAACACTAACCTTTGCAAAACTACCTTTGGTTTTAATTTACCACACCGATAAGATCTCTTGTCGATAATATTAGAATAAAACACATTACTTATATTCTAAATAATGCATAAAGTAATAATCTTAATTAACGTCTGGTTGATCAAATTACACTGGGTTTTAATTCTGCTTTCAGTCAAATTAATATTTTTCCTTTATTCTTCCTCTTAAAACCTCACACCGAAAAATCTACGAATTGCCCATTCTGGAAGATTATCAACATACTAAAGTGTCCCACAACTGCCTTGAAGTAATCTACTTCGGTGGTGTTAGAAGACGAGTTAACGCCAGCTTCCAAATAACTGATATCACAGACTGTTGGTAGATGACAAGTTAACTAACATCTGCTTTCAACTGATGCTGATATCACCGACTAGGTTGTTATTGGTAGATAGCAAGTTAACTTCCGCTTTCAGTTAACTGATATCGCAGACTAGGTAGTTGTTGGTAGATGGCAAGTTAACTTCCGCTTTCAGCTAAATGATATCACAGACTAGGTAGTTATTAGTAGATGAAAAACAGTGGTAGAATTGTAAACTGATATTACAGACTAGGTAGTTCTTGGATGTCGCAGTAGTTAGTAATAGGATTAATCAGTACTGATTGTTTGGTAGTTGGGAAGATTTCTAATTTGAACAACAGTCCCCCTTATATCTGAGACAATTCACGACCCCGGTGTACATTGCTATATAGATAAATAGTAACCGTGATATTTTAACAAGTTAGTAAACAAAGGGCCTGATATAAGGTTGGCCATTACTCAATGTATTGAAGGTTACAGCTTATATTTGGTGTACAGTAACCTATTATAAAATATATCCTTTACTTATAATAGTTATAAACGTAACAGTCCCTTTACTCTTGATTGAGCTCAGCCAAATTCTTTTGCTCTAGGACCGAACAAGATATTCCAAAATGTGCCACTCCTTTCTAGCAATATTTCTGATCGCGCTGCCATTAGTACATTTCCAGATATCTTATTTCAGGGATAACCTAACTGCTACACTTGACCGAGTTTCTGCAAAGAGGATTAAAAACGCCATTGCACATATACGAATGTAAAAAAAAATAAGAAAGAGCTAGTTTCTGCCTTTTAAATCCACGTCAGTTGATGAGGGTTCCTAGAGAGAGAAGAAAAGGGGTGGGCATTTACAAATTAAATCTAATTTATTTAAACAACAAATAATTGTTATTCATCTATTGGCTCCTCCAATTTTTGGACTGTAATCGACAATCCTGCATTTCTCACCGTACCTCATATTCACACCATTAGTTTTTACTCCCCCACCCTCACTCTTTATCTACAACGGACCCGACGACCCCAGTTTATTGATAACTTCAAAGTTACCTTTAATATCATATTGACGTGAAAACAACACCAGATTGTCATCCAACCTATAAACATCACAGTTTTAAACTTACTGATAATAGTGACGACAGTATTCACATATATATACTGTATCTCCTGCATTTCTAGTCGTGGCCAATTTAAGGAACGCTTTTTCTCATCTGTGATATCGAGAATTTTGCAAAAAAAAAAAATCGGAAAACAGGTGTAATTTTGTGAAACATTGAGGTGTAATTTTGTGAAACATTGAAAAGTAATACCAATAACTGTGTAACTTGTGAATGGTTGAATTAGTTTTATTTAGTTCCAATTTTGCCAACAGAAGGTTCTACATAAATCCGTCTTAGTAGTTGGATCAAGAGCACAAAAATAGGATGTAAAACTCTATTTATTTTAAATGCGCTGTATAAAGTGATTTTTAGTGAGGAAAAATTATAACTATCAAGTTGCATATAATATTTTGAACTAAAGATTTTTACATAAAAAGTTATTGTACCTAGAGTATGTTCTTTGTGTAAACAAGATAAAGTAACAATGTCTAAGATGTACATTTATACGTTTATTTTACTGTCTTTGTCAGTGATTCAAGGTTCATCGGTTGTGAAAAGACAGGCTGCAGATTTAGACCCAGACGTACGTCTTGTTTGAATTATTGTTATTCTCACCATCATGAAGTATTGGCTTTTGGGTTTTCTCCACCGATAGTACAATTCAAATACAATGTAAATTTAGCGTGGGTCCCCTTTTTAAATTTTAGTTCTTATTTACGATAATTTTGTTCCGAAGTGCCCAGTGTAATAACCAGTCAGTTCTTTATAACTGAAAGGGGGAAATAATCTAATAGTAATATTTTTAGGCGTTTCTGAGTAAATATGGTTACCTTGACGACCTTCAACCGGGTGATCACCATGCTGAGGAGACCAGATCCGAGGGAATCAGGTAAGGGTGTGCTTTTTCAGCTTTCAGGGCACCTGCTATAACTCGACGTTTAACACGTCAATAAATGTCAAACTAGTTGTGATTGCAAAGGTCATTCTTTGGTAATTCGGATTAATAAGCATTGATCTAATAACGTGGCACAAACCACCGGCTAATCTGAAATTTTTTAATTCGATCCAGTATGACCCAAATCTGGCATAAACCATATTGAAGCTTTTTGAAATTGAATCCAGGACAGAAACAGTAACGGATCGTAAACTTTATGAAACTGGTCCCAGATTGCCGTGTTCCTAAACAGAGTTGTTATCCTTGCGCTTTCAAAGAACATCTGTATGGCTCTGCTCCCCATTTGAGTGATCCAAGATGGAAACCCATAACACGATTCCCATCACATCTACCCTCTTGGTTGGTCGGTGTTTACTAGTGGAATTGTAATTACATTTTGGGTACGTTTGTGTCGTTTTTTTTATCTTGTGGACCTGTTCATTTGCATCGGCAATTTATTATCTATCCCTAATTTCTGACCCTTGTTTCAGAGAGTTTCAAATATTCAATGGGCTGACTCCAACTGGTTTGATGGATCGAGAAACTTTCCTCAAAATGCAGCAGCCTCGATGTGGATTACCTGACGTCATCAAACCACGTGACCGTCTTAACGGAAACCGACTGCGAAGTCGCCAGCACGATCCGACACAACCGTTACCATTTTACGCTCCAGGTAAGCGATGTTTTTGTCACACGATGCTCCTTCCAAAACAACGCTGTCTTGAAATAAATGTTGTTCAGCTTTCAGCTATAATTACCGAACTATTAACAACGTTTCAGAACGTATACGAAACTACGTATGGTTCTTACATAGAAATAACACACACCACTTTGAATCACATAATTCGAATTTTTTAAAAGTCTATAATACTCAACAAAACCATCTATTCACATTTAAAGCCATTTCTTAAACTTTAAATGTGATTTGAAGGCTTCGTTAACTTATTCTAGCCTTTATCAAAATTCGACTTATTATTTAGATGTAAGAACCATACGTAGTTTCGTAAACCGCAGAACGTTTTACAAACATTCTCAGGTTAAAAGTTGTCCACTTCTAACATCTTTAAATATCCGTATAGTTCCTTATTCATGTGGATTATTCAACCCGGTTTCCCCCTTTCAGTGATGCAGATAAGAGGGGCTGACATGAAAAAGGCGTCTAGTCATTCGGATGGGACAATAAACCGAGGCCCCGTGTGCTACAGGCTGTGCACGTTAAAGATCCCTCGACAGTTGGAAATCGAAAAAGAGCAGGCTAATGCCGCTGTCCTAGCAAAATTTCCCTCATGGCACCCTGCATGGCGTTGCCCGTCTTCATTAGCCCACATGGTGCAGAAAAGTAAAACTCCATTCATTTCATTTCATTTTCTGACACTTTGCAATGTTCCCGGTACTATTTGCATTTTGACTTATGATAAAATAACAAATAGGAATATTTAGATGAGTCTATCACATAATGCTCGCAATATTACCATCACCTAAAGGCTTGGTAATTAATAAAGTGTTTCCTCTATTAATATTTCAGGATATAAATGGGATAAGAACGACCTGACATATAAAATAGTTGGCTATACTAGACAGCTAGGTGGCAGCACACAGAAGTAAGTTGAAATTAGTTTTCGGGGAAGGGAGGGTTTGATTCTCCCAAATGTACAGGCCTAGGGTGGAGCAGACTCTTTATTTAGAAATTAGGATTAAGGGTCTTGATATTGGGTTTTCTTCTGTTCTTATTCTGATCTGAAATTAGAAAAAATAACTCGCCCGATGTGTATAGTAGTATAGAGAAGTATAGTATCTGTTATGTGCTGATTGTTTTTAGTTTACTATGAACAATATTATCATTTAAGTTCTTATTTTTTGAATATGCAACTATCATTTTCTGCTTATAGACATAGGGGAATTTCTCTTGAAGGCTCTTATAGTGGGCATGAACTATCTTGCTTGCTCGATTGCTGGTTGTATTAAACGGGACAACAAAGGGTGCTATGCCTACATTATGATGAATATTTAGTCCTATAGGTCTTGCTGTATTCAATGTCTCAATCCAATGGGCTTCCCTAGATTGACGGAATTTGGTAGTTTCATCTTCGGGCAAGTCAATTTCTATACGCTCAATTGGGATTAGGGCAAGATCGTCTATTGAATGGTCGTCGAGGTTGAAATGATTAGAAACAGGCTTGTCTTTCTTTAATTTGATGTCTGACCTATGAGCATTAAAGCGAGTTCGTAAATTATTCTTAGTTTCTCCTACATATTGTTTGGGGCCTTTCTTGCATGAAATTAAATATATTACATTCGAATGTTCACATGTTAGATGTTCCTGGATCGGGTACCTTTTATTCGTAGAGTTGCTTACAAAATAATGAGTTTCTGATATAAAGGGACATGTTTTGCATCTACTGGACAAACATGGAGCACTTCTTAAACCTGGAGGTACTTCGGCATAAAGTCCGTTTTTAGCTGCTATCTGTGCTAAGGTGGAATTTTTTATGTTTCGTAAAAATCGTTTAGAGTACCCACGCTCTTTCAGTTTTGAGAAAACAATCGTACAGACTTGGTTGAAATCAGAAGATCTTGTACAAATTCGGTGAAATCGTAAAACTTGTGACTTAATTAGACCAGAAAAGGTATGTTTTGGGTGAAAGAAGCTCTTGTGCAAGAGTTGATGAGTATCAGTTTCTTTGAAATGCACTTTAGATATCCAGTTTATTTGTTTCTGCTATGGAATCTCCCTTAAAGACTGTGGTATCGAGAAAGTCTATGCTTTTGTCACTCACGTTTGCGGTTAGTTTGATAGAAGGATGGTGGTTGTTGAGAATTTCAAAGAATTCCCAAAACTGTTCGATAGAATAAGTCCAAACCATAAAAATGTCATCCAAAAAGCGTCCGTAAAAAAGTGGGTCAAATGGACAGAGGGGCAACACCTCACGTTCCCACTCTGCCATGAAAAGGTTTGCGTACGAAGGGGCGAATCGTTTGCCCATTGCTGTCCCTGAAGTTTGTAAATATGTTTTACCATTAAATGTGAAATCGTTTCGACTAAGACAAATCTCTAAAAGCTGTAGAATTGCATCGTCGGGTCTGTTTGGATCTGGGTTTCTATTAAAAGCTTTACGAACTATTTAATCTCGCTAGAACTGAATGAATTGAAATTGAGTTTTACGTCCTACTTTTCTGCACCTGATTGTGTTAATGAAGATGGATGTAAGGAGGGCAATATTGACAAGACCTTGTTATAATTCTTAATATCTATTTAACGTGTTCAATTTTTTCTTACAACACCCTGCATTGTGTAATGAAATAATTATATAGATTTTCGCCCACTACTTTGCTTCGTTAATATCCAACTGTCGAAATGTCGAACTGTAATTGGTAAAGCTAGTCGCAGACGATGGACTGTTGTCCGTTGAAAACGAAGAACATTGTCTTTTTTCAGGCTTTATTCATACTACATATATATTATAGGTTGGCTTTTAGAAATGCTTTTGGAAAATGGTCAGCGGAAACACCGTTAAATTTTCGAGAAGTTTCTAGCGGGACTGCAGATATCGAGATTGATTTTGCTCGGTATAGTCACGGGGATGGAAATGGTAACTCTTTCGATGGACGAGGTGAGAGGTTCAATGTGATCTCTATTTGATCATTACGATGACAACTGAGTATCTCTGATTGGAGAAGACATAAAGTGTTGTCTGGGAACTGTTCGTTCTTTATCCTGGGATGTCACACTGTCTATTCCAAAACATTCCGAAATGAATCTTCTTCCGAAGACGAAAGAAACTGGCTGTCATATTGCGCTACTTTGGGTTTCGCTATCCCTTGATTCGTCATTGCTATCAAGAAACGGGTCCATCGTGATACACCCCTATTTGTTTAAAAGAAATAACGTCATTAGAACATTGGTAGAAAACCTGTTACCAGGGAGACGAAGAGTATCAGAAAGAAAAAAAACACATAAAATACGAAACTGTAACTCAATTTCAATTAGATAAGATAGCTACAAGACATTTCTTAATTACAGGTGGAACATTGGCTCATGCTTTCTTCCCGGGGACACAACCAATTAGTGGAGATACCCATTTCGACGAGGATGAGGAATGGACTATGAATCGAGACGCTGGGTCTAATTTGGAAATCGTGGCGGCTCATGAGTTCGGGCATGCTTTAGGTTTAGGTCATTCCAATAATCCCAGAGCTCTGATGGCTCCGTACTACCAAGGTTACGACCCTGATTATAAACTGGACTATGATGATAAAAGAGGAATACAGACTCTCTATGGTACGTTGAAACCAACTTTCAAAATGAGTCAATAAACGCTAAAATTTTAATTCAAAGCTTCATTTCATTTCGTTGTTTTCTTAGCAGCACTATAGTATAAAAATAGTGATGATATAGTTCTATAATATTGTGATACTTGTCAACTGTTTACTGTAGCACAGTGGTTCCCAACCTATTTCAGCCTTCACATCCCTGGAGCAATGACGTGTACCTTTCACACCCCAAAAATATGTTTCATCCACATTTCCAGCATGTGATGATGTGAGGTCCTCCTCAATTCAAAATAAATTCTTCTCCTACACCAGTTGGCCACACCCCCGAACCAGGGCTGTAGTGTTTGTTTATTATATTTGCAGGCGCAGGAAGGGGTGGAAGGCAGACACCGAGACCAACAGCACGACCCCGGCCAAGACCCACAGCTCGCCCGAGACCAAGACCAACGGTACGCCCTAGACCACGACCTACTGCTCGTCCTAGACCGAGACCCACAGCACGCCCCAGACCTAGACCTACCCGACGACCTAGACCACGCCCTACTCCTCGTCCCTCGGGTAGACATTGCCGTGTGAAATTTGATGATATCACTGTTGGTAAGCATGAACTTAGTGGTTCTTTTTCAATATATTTAAGTACATGTCAATATAACTGGCTAATTATGTTGGGTATTTGTTTGAATATCTGTTAATCTATATAATTAAGTTCACAGTTCACATTCCTCTGTTCTTCTATTTTCTTCTGCATGGATAATCTCGTACCTCGTCTACTCTCTCCTATTTGCTATACTGTCGATCTCCAGTCGATACTATACTGTCGAGTATTCCAATGTTCCCCGTGTTTAAAATATGGATATAATGAAAAAATTCTTATGGATTACAATTACTAACTTTATTTGAGCGATGTTTCGACCAGTGTTCTCTTGTCTTTATCAAGCAATGAATGAAAAATATGGATACCAAAAATCGCGCAATTGTATACTTCCGACTGTGTTGTTGATGTCGAATACCAAGTAGATATCCACATGTATCCACATTGCACACTGCATGGCGTTGTCCGTCTTCATTAATTCAGTGCAGAAAAGTAGGACGTAAAACTCCTTTCATTTCATTTCATTATTTCCATTTCTTTCAGCCCATGACAGACAGACCTACGGTTTTAGAGGTTCTAAAATCTATAAACTAGATGCCGGTGGGGTGGCGTCTGGATTCCCCCAGCCTGCTAGAAGAGTATTTGCCAGAGCTCCTAAAACTCCCTCCGCTGTAGTGTACGACAGATCACAACGAAAACTGTATATGTTTAAAGGTATTTATCTTGTTTTGGTTCCATTATGTCTTTTCTGAAAGAAGCTGTGTGGTATATTTACATTACTATATTATATGCAAGAGACACCATTCTGAATTTATTACATACTACATTTCGAAACGCATACAAGTAACGTTAGCAAGGAAATTTCTAATTGATAACGTTAGCTGTATGTGTTTCGAAACGTAGTATGTAATAAAACTAGAAGTAGTATAAATATATAACTTGTGTTCTTTATATTTACCTTCCTGCTTCTATTATGCCTTATAAATATTAAATGCTATATCATAGTTTAACAAAATTACAAAGAAAGCTTATGTTGATAAAGTTTGAAACGGAAAACTCGCATTATGAGTAATATAAATCTGTTCGTGTGTTTATTTTCTTGAATCGACCACGGATTTGCATAAGCAAAATACCCTTTCTCCACTATACATACGTTTTATAATAGTGCGATACCAAATCAGTGGTTGTCTCCCCTTCTACAGCTTTGGCTCGTGATAAGAACATTTTACCTCTAGAGTATAACATTACAGAAACATTTAATCTAATGGAATAATATTGTTAGTTACGTAATAGGACACAAGTTTCGTTTAATAATTCAATGCGTAACGGAGAATTAAATCCAGAACTCCATTCATTAGACATACCTAAACAATACAGAAAGGAAGAATAAAAGCTTATATTATTTCATAAGTTGAATTATACAGAACGCAAAAAATTCGATTTCACTTACCCAGCTAAGAGACATTTGCGCACGCATCCTGATGTTGTCTCCTTCATTTTTTATGAAAAGCCTTAAAAAGACGTAAAACTCCTTATCTAACAGTATTTTCAATGGCTCTGTCTGGGAACATTTCCCTCATTGCACACTGCATGTCGATGCCATCTTCATTTGCCCAAATATTTCATTAACATCAACATATTTTGATTAAGATTGGGACGTTAAACTCGCTTACTTTTCAAAGCTTATACCCCGTGGACTTAAGTGGGTTGAAGCCCCTCCTACGGGAAATGTTTTTGCTTTACATAAGCTTCTTGCATGTTTTCTAGGCGTGGTGCCCTACCTTAGAAGTGGGAGCGCGTGAACTTCGTTCAACCAGTTCCTGTAGTGATTTAGCCACTGATCTTATACTATGATTTAATGCCACTGTCCCCATTGCGCAATTCATGGCATTGTCATCTGCATCTACTCTTTGATTGGAACCTTAAGTTTCATTTTGTATGTTACAGGAAGCCGATATTGGAGGTATACGGGGTACTCGTTAGATAGGGGCTATCCAAGGACATTACCATCCGCTTTCAGAAGGTTAAGAGCTGCCTTTCAATACAGTGACGGTAGAATTTACCTCTTTAAGGTAGGCTACATAATATTTTCATTTTTAGATCTAAGTAATTGTATACGACCTTAGTCATGGTAATGGCCTTAATAATTTCATGAAATTACCAACTTTTTTTATTATTTTTGTCCCGGGTGACGGGACGTCTTTTGACCTGGTACAAAATTGCAGAAGGGCGTTTGTCCGTCCACCAATTTTACATCATGATCAAAGTTCCACGTCCCGCTCATTTTATGTTACTTGGCAGAAGAAGTATTGGACACATTAGTTTTGGTTGAGCAGTCGAAAAACTTAGTGAAAAAATATGTCCGTAATATTAATATCACCAAATATTCTTCCGTATTCTTTGTAATATTTGGGCTATATAGGCTAAATGATAATAGTTTTCTGCTCGCTCAAATGATGATTTATCTTATCTAAATTTATCATATTTCTTAAAACTATAGTGACAATAAAGCAAATATTCTGCCGCTATCCTTGTTTAAAAATTTACCCCTCAGTTGATACAAATGAAAGACTGATAAATTAAATATAAGATTTGAACGACATATAGAAGCGAGGAGCACATATAACAAAACAAAAGACAATAAATTAAAGATGGCTTGGACCGAGATTAGGCTCATGTATAACGAAACATAATCCTTTACCGACATTTTGGGGATAGAGATCACTCCTTAATTTTATTAATCACTACGTTTCAATAATCTACATTGTCATCACTTCACCTGAAGATGACAATGTAGATTGTTGAAACGTAGTGTGTAATAAAACTAAGGAGTAGTATACCATAAAATTGTGTTCCGTTATTTAATAACGAAAGATGTATAAAAGTCAGACGGTCGTCAAGATATTTTCCAGTTGAATAAATCAAGATTATTTATTTATTTTTATTTTTATTAAAGCATGTTTTTTTTTTAGTTCAATACATACACAATATGGACGGAGGGTATGCGAACCGCTCCCCGGGGATATGAACGATCGATAACTCAAAATTGGCGTGGCATCAAACCTGGAATGGAGGCGATATTCAGAGATACGAATGGAACTTTTTATTTCTTTAAAGGGAAAATGTAAGTAATATTTTATTTTAAAGCCTTATCCAATCGTACAAGAATTGAATAAAAAGGCAAACGGAAATGCAGCAGTTGGTTTGTACCATAGACATGTTCAAAGATGGGTTTCCTAATTTTTTAGTGTCAAATTAAGCACACTTTTTGATTAATTGTTGTTTCTAATGAATTATCAAGTATTCTTAATTATATCATTTATATCATAAATGTCCTTGTATGTACAGTCTGGATAAACAAAAAAAAAACCTTTCTTGATCGGTCACCCATTGGTATTCTGCTGGTAATTCTCTTCGAATTTATCTAATTAAGAATTAATTATGGGCATTTGAGACAAACTGGTATTTTTCCAAGTCATTAGAACACCCCTCTCTACTTTCTATTCATATAAATATTAATATTTTCATAAATAAAAATAAGAGAATCCATCTTTAAATAATACATTATAAAGATGGATTTCGTTTACAAGGGTGCACGATGTTGCCACATTTTATGTCGGTGAATTTGGAATTGAAAATATCAAAATCACTTTATCTCTGATCGAAACTACTGCCTCTACCCCAGTCGATAACCGTCAAAATATCTATCAGAGGATGGAATAGAGGCAGATGTTTCGGACTAGCATATCTTATGAAAATAAAAATCCAACATCTGGGACATCCAGTTCCTTTGGATGTTTCAACCTAGGTTTCCCAGAAATTCAGAAGTGGGATATAAAATACATTCGAAAGAGCTTAGTATTGTTCATCTTCATCAAACCAATATAGAATTAAGTTGACAAAAATTATGACTATATTATTGTCCTGTTATTTAACGTTTCGGCTTACTGCCTTCTTCAGTGTGAATATAGTTAGTAAAATAACGGAATAAGATGTGATCGAGATCTATTTTGGGTGTTTCTGGAGAAGGCAGTAAGCCGAAACGTCAAATAACAGGACAATAATATAGTTTTAATTGATTTCCCCTTTTTTGGAATTTGTGATATAATTAAAAATTATGACATAAAAATAGTTTCATTTATATTTGGCAATCTGTTGTAATTTGATTTCAGATATTGGAAATACGACGACGATTTTGGTTACGCTGAACCCGGCTACCCTAAAAAGACGTCACAGGCTTGGCTAGGCTGTAGTCCACGCATACCTCGATAGCTGTGTGATTATAGATTATTATTATGTAGAGTGTATTTATTTCAATAACACCCTTTGACACATTATCTGCAAATGTCATGCGAATGAATTATTATAGATAATATATAAGATAACATATTAGAAACATTTACAGAGCTTATTATATACATGAAAATAATATTATACGCGTCATTTCAGCTATAAAACATTAAAGTACATAAAACAATCGTGTAGTTCATGTGCAGAAAGGAGGCGGAGCTCAAGGTGTTCTAAGCAGCCAATCAGAATTGAAGTTGTATTAATTTAAACTTCGTGTATAAAACTCGAGCAACGGGTTATGTGGTATGTAGTTTGCGATATCAGCATCCGCTGGAAGCGAACGTTAACTTGTCATCTACCTACCTACCTACCTTATGTGGTATGCAGTAAGGCCAATTTGTTTGAATATAAATTGTAATGCGCAGGAAAAAATAATCTTAAAGGGACAGATTCGCAATTTTAGGGTCTGGAATATATGTAAATAGTAATCTGAAATACCAGAAATGTAAAAAAAATCACAAAATTCCTTAAAAATACCCCAAACTAGGAAATTCATCTGCTATTTCCATATGTCTTTTAGTCGTCATGCTAACTTTCAAACGCGAATAATTCTGGACACATGCAAATTTAAGACTCAAATTTCGACGGACAGTTGTGAATACTGTTAATGGATGGCTTAGTAAAAACCGTTCCCGTTTCTGAGGCTAAGGTGCAATTGTCAAACGGGTGGCTATTCTGTCCATTTGAAAGTGGGAAAATGACCATACAAACCTGTGCGATATTGATCACTAAAAGAGGGAAACCGAATTGAAAAATGCGAGCCCGATCGAAAATACGAAGTCTGTTTATTTTAACGGACTGGTTTTTTGCACCGTCACGATGCGTGTTCTCCCTGGCTGCTAACAACGGTACGGATAAGAAAAGACACAATAGGCGCGTTTGTTTTTGTTTTTTTAAAGCGTGAAGCCATTTTGATTGTCAAGAATGATATTAGGTGACTTTGTTGAAGTAAGGTAGAGATGGCCATATGTTTTTCATTGCCCATTTCAGTACCGTCGCAGTAACAATAGCCACAGCCTTATTTTAAAACAAAAAATGAATTCTTGTCATTTCACAAAAACCAATGTTCGTCTCGTTTTTTGCCTTAAACTACCTCAAAAGGAAAACAGAACCACAGCAGAATTATTGGATTTAAAATATATTCTCAATTACATATTCAATAAGGAAAAAAACAGTAGCAAACAACACCACTCGTATTTCTAACCACAAGCTCAATCAGCGTGCATATAACCTCGTATCATTTCATTTACGTTAAAAATTCATGTCGTACAGCTCTATTGCAGCGTGTGTCTATTACGTGTCTTACATTCCTCAGTTACATGTGTAAGATTATTATCGTGTGTCCTTAATAAGTAGAATTTTGAAAAAGACAACGATATTTCAACAAAGACTTCAACATTTAAAGTAGAACTGGTTTTGAATAAGGCTTTGTTGAAATATTATAGCCTGTTTCAAAATTCGACTTTTTGATTGAGTCATTACCATGCATACGTAGTTTCGATGAGAATGAGTGATATCATCATACTCACTGGCAACTCGCCAGCTTTCTTAAAACACAATGAATGGATTTCCTAGTACGGTTAAATATTGATCGATGTTGGTGTGCTCGTTCAATACTAAATAGCCGGGCACGTAGAGGAAAAGAATTACATCGTTTTCATTTAGCTAAATATTGTATTTTGATTGGCAGAATAAACCAGGTGACTGTCTGGTAATTCAAGTCTCTAGGGACCGTGGCTGTATTTCCAATTTCTGCAACAGCGTCCCGGAAGTATATATGGATACTGTGGAAAACGATTGACAACTGTTTCAACCGACCTCCAGTCTATAAATAACTCTGATACAAGCATGTTTTTATGCGGGTGAACTTTAATAAGCAATCTTGTTCATTGAGTGCTGCAAGGACGTAAAACTAATATTTCTTTTTCTTCTTGTGATATTGGAAATTTAAGGTATCTATTCTTTTCACCTAAAGCATTGATTGTCCCGGGAATATATATCCTGCCAAATTAACGTTATATCTATTGCAGCTGTTTCATATTCACCTCTCATATATTTATATATTATGTATGTGTTTATGAATGAGTACCCTTGAGCTGAATATGGCTTCCCAGCATGCCACTGTTATAACGGTTGCTAGGGTAGTGTATTGAACAAGATGGTAGATTATCACAAATTGAGAATAGAAGGATATTTCAATGGATCTGTAATTGCGATGGATATTGGAAAAGTGATGATATCGACACCGTCTTGTACGAAACGAGTCAAACGACCACGCGTCCGAGAAGAAAAGGGCGACGGATAAGCTTCAATGAACACAAGCAAACATTTTAACACTTCAAATCACGAGCATAATATAAAATTAAAGCTGGGAATTCCAACCAACCATCAATATAAGATATCACGTGACCTCATGATCAGATGGTACAAACGTCAATTTGTGCGCCAAAAGAAAGAGAAAAGGCGGGAAGTCTTACAGAAGGACGTTATTCAGTCTAGCCATGGGATCCATTGAGGTAAGACGTGTTACATTTCTTTACCACATCGTATTACTGCCATTTAGTTCATCTTGCATTTTGATTACTAACATCGTGTATTGAATGTTTGGTTAGACTATAGCCGGTTATTTATGTCGATCAAAGTGAGGCAAATTGTGTTGTGTATATCTTAATTGCTTGAAAGTAGTATTTACTATTCGATTTGGATATACAGTATGTATTACTCGACCTATTGTGATATTCGAGGATTATAGTGCTCTCTCGTCGAGAGAGAGGGGCATTATATGAAAATTAAAATCATGATGATAGCAAAAATGTGAGCTGGATATTTCTCTACAATTTAAGACTATTGTGAATATTATTCCACCCGGTTTTCCCATGACTGCAGTCTTTGTGATTTCACACAGAATTAGACCAGAACTTTATTTTCATTCTATAAATTTCTTCAAATCATTTTTGACCATTAATATAGACAATTGATAAAACTACGATCCCTTGCCCCAAAAATCAAGAAATACGAAAATGTCTGCTACCCAGAGCCTGGTATTAGTAGCTCCTAATATGGAAAGGTTCTCGTAACCACGTGGCATCCATATTTAGAAGCTAGCAGCATAAGCTTTGCACACGACTTTGCTTATTGGAATTAGAGGCGTTGCCCCGCAAGTTTAAATTTTCTGTAATCGACTTTGACCATGAAGCAGTCATGAGCAAGTCCAATGCTATTCTCAATGTGCAATGAAATGTGAAATAATAATGAATTATCATCTTTAATTAGGATTTGA